TCTTTTTTCTTCCTTTCCTTTTTTGAGACAAGTCTGACGTCTGACTCTGTTGTCCAGTGTGGTGGCATGATCTCTGCTCACTGCAACCTCTGTCTCCCGGGTTCAGGCAATTCTCATGCCTCAACCTCCTGAGTAGCTGGGATTACAGGCACATGCCACCATGCCCGACTATAAAATTGAGTTCTTATAGTTCAATAAAGTTAATTTCTTATCTCTTTATGCTAGTATTGTAGAATTTTGGGGCAGGTAGTATCTTAGATTCCCTACATTAGCAGTGCTATATAAAAGAGAACTAATGCAAGTCACATATGTAATTTTGAATTTTTTAGTAACCATATTAAAAAAGCAAAAAGAAACAGGTGAAATTATTTTTGATTGTATGTTTTTTAACCTAGTATATCAGAAATACTGTGTCAACATGTAATCAATATGAAATTATTAGAGATAGTTTGCACTTTTTTATATGAAATCCTTGAAATCCATTGTGTATTTTACATTTTAAGTACATCTCAACTCGTGAAATTTTCATAAAAAAATTTGATCTGTATTTAGATTCATAAAAATTGCAGTTAAAAAAGTAGATTCACACTGTTTCAAACATTGTTTTCCAATAAATCGAGTACCAAACAAATCATTTTTCTCCAATATTTGTGTCTGTATTGACAAAAATTACTCTTCAGAATAATTGATTTGACTCAGAAGTGCAGCACCGTCAAAATATCCATGCAGGTTAAGTAAGTCCACTAACACTTGTAAAAACTTATTATTATCAACATGAAATTCAAAGGGGCATCATATAAATTGAAAATCAACTAAGTTTATCCATATCAACAAAGCATTTGTTGTATTTTTTTTCATAGGTTTTGCAGCCACTTTACACAGTGCTGTGCTGCTGCATGTTAATTCATGTTGAAAAATGTGTACAATCATTGATTTGTATTATAAAAAGCTTCAGTTTTAACATAAATTCTTGTACTTGTCTAGCTAGGTCATAAATAAGTTTTTTCTCTCCTCGGGTCTTCAGATCTAGCTAATTGATATGCATTGTGATATAGGGGTAACAGTGTAAATCACGCTGAGATTTCTAAAAATCTATTCCTGGTTTACTCTTTGATTGTTGAATACTGGCAAGCATTTCTTTTGTTTCAAGAAAATCTGAATTAGAGTTACCAGAATTGTAAATCTTTGCAAAACTCTTCCTTGACTCAAGCAACCAACAGTAGCTAATAATGTGGTCATTAAATTCATTGTCTTCTATTTCTTTTAACAGTTCCATAAACTGGTGATGATTTAGAGCATTTGTGCATATGTACTGAACAATTTTGGGGGCTTTTTGAGACAGAGTCTAGCCCTTTCGCCAGACTGGAGTGCACTGGAGTGCAGTGGCGCGATCTCAGCTCACTGCAACCTCCGCCTCCCGGGTTCAAGCCATTCTCCTGCCTCAGACTCCTGAGTAGCTGGAACTACAGGCATGTGCCACCATGCCTAGCTAATTTTTGTATTTTTAGAAGAAGATGGGGTTTCACCATATTGGCCAGAATGGTCTTGATCTCTTGATCTTGTGATCCACCCGGCTTGGCCTCCCAAAGTGTTGGGATTACAGGCATAAGCCACCATGCCCGGTCTGAACAATTTTAATAGCTACCTCCATGATACAGTCTGCCTCAGGGCACAAATATTTGCATTGTGTTTCACACAGCAGAACAAAGTAATCAGAGAAATAAATCCAACAAATACAGATGTTTGAACATTGTGTTGCTGGAAACTGACTTTTTTATATCTAGCTGAAAGTTACACATGTAGAGAATTCAAAAATATTTACAACATAAGATCAGTTTTTAAATTTAAGATTGCAAAGAGATGAAGACATTTCTCTGTAAATTTGAAGGTCATTTGAGACAGATATACCTATAGTATTAATTAGGCATTATCTCTTCTAAAATTCATCTAAAGCTAAAAATACTTGTAACTTTTCAAATGCTGATTTAATTGATCTTTAGTATTGTTAGAAGGGCCTTTTTATTCACTGACAGTTGCTTGATGTCTCAAAGGTTTTTCACTTTCTGTAAAATATCTTTTTAGTTTTTTTCCTCATAATTTAAAAATATAATTTCCTTAACTGAAATAATTTAATTTTTCATCTCACCATCTTAAAATTGTTTTCTACATTGAACAAGAATCTGAACTAGTCAGGTGCGGTGGCTCACACCTGTAATCCCAACACTGTGGGAGGCTGAGGTGGGAGGATCACTTGAGGCCAGGAGTTTGAGACCAGCCTGGGAAACAGGATACCCCAGCTGTATTTTTAAAAAATAAAGAAAAAAAGAACCCAAGCTGTTTTATAGCTGGCTGCTTACAAGCTCAAGTTCTGTAAAATCTTCAGGAATTTTTTTTGTTTTACATTTAATTCTGATTTCACTGATTGTGACTAATTTTGTTGATTATTTTTTAACTGAAGCCATTTTGTATTAAATTGAAATGCATTTGCTGAAAATGTCTCTTAACTGTTCTGTTATCTTAAAACTTTTTTTTTACACAGCAGCTTTTAAATTTTGCTCTGCTGCAGCAAATTGCAATTGCCATTCTTTGTAAAATTTGTGACATACCTTGTTGAGTCTGTTTTCTTTTCATTTGATTCTTCCTCAGTAGTATACCTTCACTTGAAAGTAAAGTTTTTCTATTTTTAAGCTAGAAAAATAATTTAATTATAAAATAATTAAAATAAGTATTTTAATTTAATTGCCAATTATGATTTACATAAGTGTCACTGTAACTTATGGTATCTGCATAAAATGTTCAAATAAACCCATTACAGTGCTACATTGTTGCATAGAAAAATCATTTGAACTGACTCATTCTATCAGTTCTAGACTGGTGATATGCTTTTGTGTAATGCTAGAAATGACACATTTACCCAACTGTGCACTGCCATATATCTTGCACAATTTAATAATAAAAGCAGAATACAGTTCTACCAAACTATAACATTGTGCTTAATTGTAAAAGATTTTACACTGCTTCAGTTAAGAATTTATATTAAAAGTTTTAAAACTTAAAATTGTATTCCTCAGTTGCCGTAGCCACATTTGCACAGCTCTATAGATCAGCTTACTTTGGTGATGAAAGGGTAGAGAGGCAAAGCAACTGGACCCAGTTGGCCTGGAGGAACAGAGCAAGTCCGTAAATGAGTCTGTACTTTAACAAATGTAATTTTATATCCAAGGCTGACTTCATGTTATACCAAAAAGGATTACTTTAATTTAAAGAAATAAATCAGTTAATTTACTTTGAAATAATTTATTTGTTTAAACAACCACTTATTTGTGGCAGTTACAGGTTCAGTTTTCAATTAGATATTAATGGCATCCTATAAATACATAAAAAGTGATCTGAGTTTGCTCTTAGACTTCACTTTCCAGATAAATGCTAGCATTTCGAGTTTTGAACACTGAGTATCGTTTTATTCAAACTACATGCATAAACTTATACAAACATAAAATGAAAATGTAAGCAGAAATTCGAGTAGAGTAACGATACAATTTCATTCTTCAGTGAATGCTTAAGGTTTATAGAGGTACCAAATGCCTTAAGCCCAAATTTACAGACAAAGTAGATCTTATCCTCTTAATATTTGTGCTGAGAGGGAGCAAAAAATTAAAACTTTGCACTATTTTAATTTCTTTATGTGGTGGTTATAAGACCAGTGAAGAATTTTTTCTCCTGCTGGTAGTACTTTGATAATAGAAAATGGTCCAGGATATAAAAGACTGCTTTTGCTATTTGTGGAATTGTTGGGAACTGACTTTACACACTCAGAATATGTTAGAGAAATCTTGATTGACTGCCTGGGTGGTCAGTTAATGAGAGTATGTGTTAAATAATTACATATATAACATTGTAGTGACAGTTTTCAAAGCATCCACTTAAAATTTTCATTTCTCTGAGTAAAAGACACAAGCCTGCTTTTTTGTGTAATCTTTTAAAATTACTTTTTCCCACCTCTTTCTCTCTCTTTCTTTCTGTCTCTTTTTAATAAAATGGTTTTCAGATATAAGATGTTTTTGGGATTCTGCTAGAGATGACCTAATTTTTTGTAATTGCTGTGCTTTCAAAGTTTTGTTTGCTGAGAATGGCAGGGTTATTTTTATTATTCTTTGGTAGTAATAACAAGTGGTTTCATGCAAAGCTGCATATTCAAAAGAATATCTTAGTGCCAGCTTGTCAGTTGTTTTTGTTAAAATTGGCCTTATCCCAGGAAAAAATTAAATGCTAATGCGTACAAGTTAAAGTTTATATTATGTGTGATTTGTTACATTATTTGCTTATTGTCTTGTAAAACACACAGAGTGTTGGTTTTTAAAAATAGCTTAAATATTTTTCTTCAAAGCACTTATCAATTGCCTGAATGATATAGCCACTGTTTTATACTTTTGTTTTGTAGTGCCTCAGAATGAAAGATCATTCTTCTCAACTCATCTGAATTCAATCTCTTTTAATTAAATTCTGTTTAAAATGTGCAGCTTTAACTTTAGTTTTTCTATTCAGATATCCCTACAGGCTAATTACCTTTTCCCTGCTTTTCACTTAAATCTCTCCTCCCCCCAATTCCCCATTAATTTGGGTTGGGAAGTGTTACCTTAAAGCTTTAGCCTTAATGCTACATGAAAAGACTCAGTGCTTTTTATTTCATTTTCCATGTATTAGGCACCACTAAAAAGAATGTAACACGTGTAGCAGCTTATTTCATTTTCAAAGGAGGAATTGAAGAGCTTTTGAGTAAAAAACGTGAAAAGAAGCTCATGTTCATTGCCTACGTGGCTTTTAAAAAGACTCTTGAAAAACATTCCATTGTGAATTCCAGGTCCTCTTTAAACTTACCACCAGCAGTAACTGCCTGCAGAGCCATGTGATCATCTTGGCAGCAGCCAGGCCTTTTAGTGATTTCATTACTGTGGTTTCCTCAAGCTCTTTACACACATTGATTAATATTTTCCTTGCAGTTATCGCTGTGATGATTTTGTGGTCAATGACACCAAGCTGGGACTGGTACAGAAAGTCAGAGAACACTTACAGAACTTGGAAAAGTAAGTAATAGGCCTTTGGAAAAAGAAGGGTCTAAGAATGGGGTTGAAGTATTTTTTAGAATTTTTGAGTGGGGTTTTTGTCGATGAGTTTTATAACTTCATGTTTATAATATGATTGAAATGTTGATAAAATAAACCTTGGCTTTGGATATCTAAAACTTGGCCCATAGTGGTCATAGCTCTGCATTTATTTTATTTAATATTTGTCATAAAACATATCTAAGGTCCCAAGAACCTGTTTTAAAATTATTACCCAACAATTTATAAGCTACTCAATTTATTTGCAAGGGGAATTTTGAGGGTACAAGGAAAGGGCAGAAAAAGGTGTGAAATCATCATAGAGTTACTTTTGATAATAGAAAACTCTTGTCAAATGTATTGTGAGGTCTACTAGGAAGCACTATGATTTATGCATCATTTTTAAGGGAAATTAGGTTTAATGAACATATTTTCCACTTTGCATCTATGCAATAGCACAGGATCCTAGTTTCTTTTCCTTGCTTGTTAGGGGCAGTTAAATACCACTTGACATTAACAAGGAGCTATGAATACTTTGTCATCATAAAGAAATGAAACTATTTATGTGTGAACAGGCTTTTCTTGGTATAGTCAAATAGCTTAGTTAGAGAAAACTCACTGGACCCAAGATTGAAGCAATAAACAGAAACCCAGCTAGCCATGCCTTTGAAGCTACAGTGCATAGAAGCATGGCTGTGGAATGACTGCTGACTCAAGTGAAATCTGTGTACATCACACCAAATCATTAAGTGCCATCTAATTTATTTTGGCAGTTGGTGTGTAGAAGTTATTGTGAAAACATGCACAAAGCAGGAATGCCTTAGCAAACTTAAGTGTAAAGCCCATAGAATGTTTCAAAATTGCATACTGAAAGGAAATAACCTAACTTCTTTGAGGGCAATACTGCGTAGTGTTTGTTAAAACCAGACATGTATATCTCATTGACTGACTAGATTATAAAGCCGATACTGGAAGAATAATGATTTCTTTAAACCAATTAAAGTACTTCAGGTTTAAGTACTTTTTGGTTTGTCGTCTTTTGGCTCTTTTTCAGAGCGCTTCTCTTCTAATTTGATGAGCCCTATCTAGGATTAGAGACAGATACACACAGATCCAAAATATTTAATTTTCTCTGAAATTGTTCACAATAAACATGAAGTCTGAGATTCCTGAAGGAATGTATGTGTAGTATCACTCTTTGGTGTGGTGATGTCATTGTAAAGGTCTTAGTAACTTGATGATTTGTTATAGAAGTGGGTGGCTACCAGAATATTTTTTCTGCCACTTATGGTTTTCTCCAGGTAAAGACTACCCTCTCAGTCTGAAATAAATTAATCAGAACTAAATCAAAGGGAAAAGAGGGCATTTGGGAACCTCCATGCATTTATATAGTTAGGAAATCTTTTATTTCCATTGACCACTTCAGATGAAAGGTGGCACAGACCACCTGTCTACACGTCTGCTTGGCCCCAGTGAATAGTCTACGTTACAGTACATTTCCTATGTTGAAAAACATTACCTAGATTCATTTTCGTGTTTTGCAAACATTAGTTTAATCTGTAGTGGAATTTAGAAACTACCATCATATTTGTGTTTTACTTAACTTTTGACTATTCCACATGCCCCATGGAGCAGCACCGTCCAGCAGAACTTTCTGCAGCGACGGAAGTGTTCTCTATCCACTCTAATATGGTAACACTAGCCATACGTGGAAAGTGGCTAGTGCAACTCAGACACTGAATTTTAAACTTCAAGTTTAATTAATTTAAATAGCCACCTGGAGTGAGTGGCTACTATATTAGATAGCAGGGATCTAGAAGATTCTGCATTTTGAGAGTCATTGAGGATAAAATATAGTAACTTACCTTTTTAAAAGGTGAAATGCCTTATTGATATAGGTTACAACTGAAAATGAACTCTTAGGCATTGTCATAAAGAGCATATATACTATGCTTGTGGTTTACCTTCCCCACTTCACAGAATTTGTGAAGGAATAATTGAACACTATAGCATGTGGAATTGGTCTCTTCATCTTGCAGTTATCAGTACTGTGAGAGAGAGACATACAGTTCTGAAGAATATTTTGAGGTTTGAAGCAAATGTCACTAGTTCTCATGTTTCAAAGACATAATTCATGTGGAAGTTCTGTAAGAAAAAATAATTATGTATTTACTTTGGATTAACTTGGTACTTTTAGAAGGTGGGAAAGAATTGGCGGCCTTAAAAGTCTGTTGCTTAACCATAATTTTTACTTCCTTTAGATTAATTTGCCTGAGATACAAAAATTTTAAAGTGACCTTTTGAAAACAGAAATAACTTTCTGATAAATTTTAAGCAAAATATTTCTTACATCAAGAAAAATTTTGAGTGATTTTAATTCAGAATTTCTGCACTGATAAGGATGTGTTTTGGAATGCCCTTTGGCGCGTAGCTGCATCTAATGAATGTACATGTGCCTATATTCCTGTAACTTTTTTATCATTCCTCAAACTCAGATCATATCCTCATCTATTAAGACAAATGAGCAAAACATGACATCTTTATATCGAAATTAAGAAAGAAATAGCATGTGGAGACTTACTGTTAAATTTCAGAACAGTCGTGTCAGACCAGGGTTTTCCTTTTGTTGTGAGGAATGAGCCTTCTGCTCTGTGAAGCTTCGCAGTGGGTCAGACAGTGAGAGTGGTGGTGGGGAGTGTCCCACGGGCTGCATCTTCTGGCCAGCTTTGCCAGGAGCAGCGTCCAGCCCACCTCTGCTGGAGGAGCGGTGGGGATTTCCAAGGAAGTAGAGTTCCTCAGTTAACTTCAAATACGTGTGGGCCCCAGTGGGCCTGACGAAGCAGTCAGGGAGGTCTCCCTGCCCTAGGTCTTGAGGGCAGCTGGAGTTTATTCTTTGACCTGTGGTGTAGCATGCATATATTAATAACTTTTTCACTATCTGTTTGTGTTTTAATAGCTCAGCTTTCACAGCTGATCGGCATAGGAAAAGAAAACTTTTGGAAAACTCAACACTAAACAGCAAGTTATTAAAAGTAAATGTAAGTAATTAAAATTTATTCAAATAGAAGAGTTAGTTGAGATTTAATCACTGTTTTGTTACAACTTTAACATGTAAAGTTACCTGTTACAGACTTTCTTATAAATGTGTGTCTTGGATTTGGAGTATTTTACACAATGTTTGCCACTTGTACTGTCGATTATTGCTGTGACCCCAGTGAGTCCATCTATCAGCACCTTCTTCCCATCAACATTACTACTGTGCTCCTCTGCCCTAGAAAACAGTTCACTCTTAATACCTGCTCACACTCCTTACTCATCAGGAAACCCAGCCTTCATTTTTAAGACTAAGTCTTTAGGTTCAGGCAGCTTTTCCTTTTTTTGAGACGGAGTCCTGCTCTTTAGCCCAGGCTGGAGTACAGTGGCGCATTCTGGGCTCACCGGAACCTCCGCCTCCCAGGTTCAAGTGATTCTCCTGCCACAGCCTCCGCCTCCCAAGTAGGTGGGACTACAGGTGCACACCACTGCGCCTGGCTAATTTTTGTATTTTTATTTTTATATATTCTTTTTTGAGACGGAGTCTCACTCTTGTCACCCAGGCTGGAGTGCAGTGGCATGATCTTGGCTCATTGCAACCTCAGCCTCCTGGGTTCAAGCAGTTCTCCTGCCTCAACCTCCCGAGTAGCTGGGATTATGGGTGCACGCCACGCCCGGCTAATTTTTTCTATTTTAGTAGAGACAGAGTTTCACCGTGTTGCCCAGGCTGGTCTTGAACTCCTGAGCTCAGGCGGACCACCCACCTCAGCCTCCCACAGTGCTAGGATTACAGGCATGAGCCACCACACCCAGCCTTTTTGTATTTTTAGTAGAGACAGAGTTTCCCCACGTTGGCCAGGCCGGTCTTGAACTTCTGACCTCAGGTGATCCGCCCACCTCAGCCTCCCAAAGTGATGGGATCACAGGGGTGAGGTGCCTGGCCTCAGGCAACTTTTCAAGATTAATATCCCATTGTTAGGAAAATGCGTGTTGGTCATTTATATATGGCTTAGAGTTAAAAGTTTGGGGACAAAAATACTTGGGGTATATATATTTATATTTTTCCATTTTTCTTAGTTTTTATAGAATCTTAAAAAGGCATTAAATCTTAAATGTTATTTTAAGGATTTCCTGTTTTTTGCATTGTGTACTCCATGGTACTCATTAATGGTGATTTCCTCATAAGCTTTCAATAAAATACTTCCTTTTAGAACAACCCCAGGATCAGAAACAGCCTTCTAAAAATATCCAGACATTTATACAGAGACTAGTTTGTTTCAAATATTCATTGGACAGAAAAGGACCAATTCCAAATTGGCTTGGTGCTAGAGTTTCAGAGGCCTTGCCTTAGCTTTGATGTTTGAAACAGTTGGCCTTTCCTTGGCATTACTGATGGCCTCTTCTTGCACCACTTACAGGGAAGCACCACTGCCATTTGTGCCACAGGCCTTCGGAATTTGGGGAACACGTGTTTCATGAACGCCATCCTTCAGTCACTCAGGTAACGCTGCAGTCAGAGCTTAAGCGTCTGACATTAAAGGTTAAGAGCAACGGCTCTGGCTTCCTATCTTGTCTACCACTAACTCTAGTCATATGGTTTGGGGCAAGATACCTTAATTTCCTGTGCCTTCGTTTCCTCATCAGTAAAAGTGGGGACAGTAGTTCCTACCTCATGGAGTAGTTGGGAAGATTAAATAATGTCATTTGTCTAACATACTTACAGCAGTGTCCGGCAGTGAATAGTTGTTTGCGGTTATTTCCGGTTGCTTCTTGAATAGGCTGAAACTGAGGTCAGCAAACTTTTTCTGTGAAAGGCCTGATAGTAAACATTTTAGTATTTCAGGCTACAGTCTCTCTCACATATTCCCCCACCACCCTGCCCTTTATTAAAACAGCACTTTAGGGCCGGATGCAGTGGCTCATGCCTGTAATCCCAGCACTTTTGGAGGCTGAGGTGGGCAGATCACCTGAAGTCAGGAGTTCTAGACCAGCCTGGCCAACATAGTGAAACCCCGTCTCTACTGAAAATACAAAAATTAGCTGGGCGTGGTGACGTGTGCCTCTAGGCCCAGCTACTTGGGAGGCTGAGGCAGGAGAATCGATTGAACCCAGGAGGTGGAGGTTGCAGTGAGCCAAGATGGTGCCACTACACTCCAGCCTGGGTGACAAAGTGAGACTCTGCCTCCAAAATAAATAAATAAATTAGTTAATTAAATAAAACAACACTTTAAAAATGTAAAACTCGCTTTAAGAGCTGTGTGGTGGAGGGCTAGATTTGGCCTGTGGGCCACAGTTTGCAGACCCTGGATTACAGAGAACCTTGTTCAAAGAGCTTATTTCAGTCATTAGTTGAGTCTTAACCCATTTATGCCAGAGGTTGCAATTTTTTTTGTATGAAAAACCAGACCTTGGCGATGACCTTGAGCAGTAAGATATAAATAACTCCCAGAAACTTAGCATTCCAATAATGGAACACTAGGCATAAATGGGTTAATCAAGGTCATAAGATGAGATGTCTTCAAAATATGAGACAAGTAGTAAAAATAAAATAGTCAACAAGGCTGATCTAAGTTTTGTAGAATAAGTTATTTTGAAAGTTGCATACTTTTAGATTTTAATGAGACATCAAAGGCCAGAATAAATGACCTTCCCAAGGTGACACTGCTGATAAGAAGCGGAAGGCATGTTTGATCTCTCCGGGAAGGCACTGCCTCTCAGCTTACCTCTTCTTGCTCAAAGAGGAAATTATAGTTACTACCGAATCCTCCTTATGATTCTGTACAGTGTATCAAAATAATATGGCCAGCTTCATGGTTTGTTTTTATTTGAGGAAATTACTGAATACCTGGAAACAAGCAACTGTAAAGAAAGAAATGGTGACTCCTATAACTGGAGGGAAAATTGGGGATTGTTTTGAAAAGGGATTTTGTTTTCAGTTCTTTTTTGTTTTTGTTTTTTACAAAGTCATCTGTCTATACTATTTTCTTAGAAGGAAGAATCATAATGAAGAAACTGAACGCAAGAGATTGCATTGAATACAATTTAAATGAGACAATTGAAAAATTGCAGTTTTCAAATGTATATGTAGGCTTCATCAACTTTCTTTACAGTCCTATTCTTTTCTTTTTACAATATTTTTCCCTTCCTTTTAAAATAGTAACATTGAGCAGTTTTGCTGTTATTTCAAAGAACTGCCCGCTGTGGAGTTAAGGAATGGGAAAACAGCAGGAAGGCGGACATACCACACCAGGAGCCAAGGGGATAACAATGTGTGAGTTGCAAGAATATGTCCTTTTGGCTTTGAGTTACAAAACAAGTTACTCTCACTGGTGGTTTCCATTATATTATGTGAGCTCACAGGCACATGCCTTAAAAAAAAATCTTCTGAAAATTGTGTTTAAGTATCTAGCTGGCAATCTTAATAATTGTTGGAATTCCGGCTGGGCATGGTGGCTCACACCTGTAATCCCAGCACTTTGGGAGGCTGAGGTGGGTGGATCACTTGAGGTCAGTCAAGACCAGCCTGGTCAACATGGTGAAACCCCATCTCTACTAAATATACAAAAATTAGCTGGGCGTGGTGGCGGGCGCCTGTAGTCCCAGCTACTCAGGAGGCTGAGGTGGGAGAATTGCTTTAACCCAAGAGGCAGAGCTTGCAGTAAGCCGAGATCACGCCACTGCACTCCAGCCTGGGTGACAGAGCGAGACGCCATCTCAGAAAAAAAAAAAAAAAAAAAAAGCACCTTATTGGGATTCTTTTATTTACCATAACAGGAGGGATAAATTTAGCATTCTGCTTATTAACTGCAGATTTGGGCATTGGAGAATTGGCACCTAGATGTGAAATGCAGTTCTACGAGTAGGCAACGATGAATCTTACTAGTCCCTGTGAACTGATTTGTCTCACAGTATTAGGTAATCCTGTCTTGGATACTGAAATTAATTTGTAGTCAACAAATTAGTTGTGGGGGAATAAAGTCAATTTTTGGTTGATATAGAGAGGGGGAAAAAACAGACAAGTGCTCATTAAGAACCAATCCTGTATCCTCATTTGGTGTAGACCTCCGTTATTTGTGGTTCAGAAGATCTATCATTATGACAATTGTAGGGGGTACATTTTTCGTGTCTTAATTTTACAGCTCTTTTTTCAGAAGGACTGTGGCTCATACTCCTTATGTATTTAATGTTTTCTCTGTCTGCTCCTCCACTTCCACACACTCCCATTCTCACTCATTCTGAGGGACCATCCTGTGATTTGACACTGTCCTGCCTTGGTGGCTGAGGGAGAGTAGGACTCAACATGTCAGAATGATGGGCAGCAGGGCCAGAGTCACAGTGCAGGGAAACTGGGAAGCCAGGCGTGGAGCAGGGCTGGAATGACATCACTACAAGTGGTATTTGAAGGGAGTTTCCTTCACAGCAGCATCTGGGATGAGTGGAGCAGCATCTAGGATGAATTGAAAGTGCCTACTTTCAAGGAGGCTTTGCACTCTACAGTGATCAGGTCAGAGGGGACAGCAGTGAAACAGCAGAAAAAAATACATGTGTATGAGTTAAGAGAAGAATTAACGTAGTACTTGATGTATTCGTGTCATGCAGGGTTGAGTTTCAGACTTTAGAAATTGCCTTTGGCTGATTTAGGCAGAAAAGGAATTTACTGCAGGGATATTGGTGAGCTAATCATAATGGGTGAGTGAAAAATCAGGTCTGGAGTCCGAGGCAGCAGCACTGCAGTCACAGTCACCCCACAGAACTGTCCTGTAAGGCCGCCACTGCCTCTGGTGCCCAGCGCAGCAGCAGAGTTCCTGTTGCCAGCACTGCCGGAGATGGGTGCTGGCGGACGCAGCCATGCTGCTGCCCTGCACTCCGGATGGTGCTCTATGTCCCCACTGCTACCAGAGAGGATTTGGTGCCGTCCCTTCTTCTTTGTGTCACTATGTGTCACTTCTTTGTGTCACAGGCTATGTACCTGTGCTCTGACTGCAAGGGAGCCTGAGAAGGCAAGTGTCTGGCTGTTTAGCTTTAGAAGTGGGAGGCAAACTCTTAAAGTGGGGATTCTCAAACATAGGAAGAGGGTTCAAGTATTAGGAAGTCAAAAGCATGATTTGTATTCCAGGGTCCTACGTGATCGTGAGGGTTGAGAAAGAAGATACTGAGATTCTCTGGGATATCAATCAAGTATCCAAAAATATGGTGCTTATATTGACAGCTATGGAAGTTGAAGTTGAGTTGGATCAGTTTAGCCACAGGTGTAGAAAACCAGAGTTAAGTGACTTAAACATCCATGGTTTGTTTCCTCACATAAAAGTCAGAGGCTGTCTGTCCAGGGTAGTTTGACAAAGCTCTCCGGCTCCTCCTGGCTTTCTGTTCCACCAACCTCCAGAGGCCCTATCCATCCACATAGTCCACTATGGTGCTGGGGCTCCCCAACTCCGTCCCCATTCCTAGCAGGAAGAAGGAAAGGATTAATATAGGACTACTCTTCTTTTTAAGACATTTCTCAGAATTTGGACACACTCAATTTTTTATTTTGAGAGTTCATATGCCCAGGAAAAAAATGAGAGTTCTATTCCTATGCGAGAAGAAGAGTGTGGATATTGGGTGATAGGAGGGTGTACAGAGAGCAGTAGATGCTGGAGCAGGTCAGTGCACATAGAGGTGAAAGTGACAGGATCTCCAGCAGAAAATTCCTGCTGGAAACTGGAGAAGTTTACGTAAAAATAGTCATGAGAAAATCTGACTTTTGGAGTTGAGGGTCACTGGTGGAGAGCCGAGTGGTGAAGGTTTGTGACACAGGCTGGAGTCTGAGGGTGCCAGTGAGTGGTAAGAAGGACAAGGCAGGAGGGGGAGAAAGAGAGCTGAATGCTTGTTTTGCATTTTGAAAACGTACATTCTTAAGTAATTTGGCCTATAACTCACCCAGTGCTGTATTGTTTGCTTGCATGGTTTAACTCAGAGTGTAGAAATACGGTGGTGCATTGGCACACTCAGAGTTAACCATATGGTTACAAATTAGCTTTGTCAGAATTACTGCTATTTATGTGGGTTTTTGAGATGCTCTTATTTATCTTTCAGACTTTCTTCAGAAAAGACCAAATCCTTTTTAAGTGTTCATTTTGTATGTGTTATGCGTTTTAGATGAGTGGATGCTGTGTTGGAATTGTAGCCTCTCACTAAGCTGAGGGCACTGTCCTTTCCTCTTTTGCAGGTCTTTGGTAGAAGAGTTTAGAAAGACACTCTGTGCTTTATGGCAAGGCAGCCAGACTGCATTTAGCCCAGAGTCCTTATTTTATGTTGTTTGGAAGATTATGCCAAACTTTAGGTAAGTATTATTTAAAGAAAGGTATTTTAAAACATTAATATTAGTGTCTATACTGTTCCTGAAATAATTCCTAATGAAGTGGTTGTATTCTAAATATTCTAAATACTTAACGCTAGTTTGGTGTTTTTTCTTTTTAAGAAGAAGAGTAGAAATCGAATACATCTGACTAAACAAATGTGTTTATTTAAATAATAGACTGTAGAAATGTCTTTAACAAGAGGTGGGGTATTTTGTTGCTATAAACATAAAGCCCTTATAAATAACTTATGTGCACTAGGAAAAGATACTGGACAAAATTTCCTTAATCCTTTCACAACATAGAATAATTACAATCACACACTGTCTTGTTATTCCAGCTAAAAAAATTAGTATGATCAGCAGAAGTGCATGGTATTATATGAACTGTTTGGAACTGAGTTTGGAAGCTCTGGGAAGGCTGTTGTCAAGGGCCTGGGATGCACTCTGTAGAAGGCGGCTGTGCCACATCCCGGTGTGGCCAGAGAGCTGCTGTGGTGCCCATGCTTTCTGTCTCGCCTCGCTTGAGCAAAATACACCTCTGCTGTACACCTAGCTATTAGAGGAGTCTCCTGCCTCTTCTCGTAGGCCTGTCATCCCTGTAGGGATTCGGGTGATGGCAGCTTTGAGGCACTGCAGGTGTTTGACAGCAGCCTTGGCCACCTTCTGCCCGTTTTACCCTTCTGAAGCAAGTCATGGTTCTTACTAGTTACAATTTTGGCACCTAATGTACATCCCTTCTCCTTTTTAAAAAACAAAACAAAACAAAACAAAAAAACACCATGCTGTAGTAAACTTAGCGATCTTTCTTGCTCTATTGCCTAAAAAGATGTATTGTTAATATAGAGATATATTTAAAAGGTAATTAACTTCAAAGGACTTTAAATTGTTGCCTTGCTAAAGAGTCTAGCCTTAAGGATCTGACGTGAGTAACTAGAGTTAACCGTAGTCTTTGTTTTGAAAGAAACTCCTTTTATGTATCATACCATTTAGATCTCCTCTCAGGAAAGACATAAGAATTTGAGAATGTCTTGACTCTAAGTATGAAAGGTAGGAATGACAGTTAAGTTACCACTAGTCAGGTCTGGACCTAATAAAAAAAAAATTCTAACATAATCACCTGGTAGACTCTTGATAGAGGTTTAGTCTTTGTGTTTTATTATTACATAATAATAGTTTCCATTTATTGAATGCCTGCTGTGTGCCACCCACTGGGTATTTTATATCTGGTCTTCATTAAAAAACAAGCAAGAACACAATTCCAGTCAAGGTAGGAAATATTGCCCCCATTTTAGAGGAGACAAAACTGAGACAGAAAGGAGAAGCAACTTGTTGAAGCTTATGCGTCTAGTAGGGTAATGACCAAAATTAGAGTCCAGGTGTTTGTGGAGTTGGCAAATAATAGATGTATTGACAATGATTTGCCCACATACCTTGAACAAGGCCCATTAACTAATTTGATACTGTTTTCTTGATCCCCATGGTGACCAAGATCCTTCATTCTTGAAAGCTTAGAAACATTATCATATTTTATACAGTAGAAATCTGCTTTTCCTGTACATCTTTCCACATCTCTGTCCTTTCTAGCTTCTGTAGCCCAACTGTGAGCATGATTTAGTTTTTAGCTGTTTAATTTTCATATTGGAATATTCCTACTGATGAAGGAATAAGGAAACCAGGCTGAGGAATTTAGCATGTGGAGTGTCTGGGGAAGATTTCAGATATCATGAACTCTTAAATTTCTTTAATGGCTGATGAGAATAGGGTGCTTTTGTACTCTTAGCTGGGCTTGCTCTTAGTTCTGCAATAATTGAGATTGTTCCCCATTTTTATATAATCAAAGAACAATTTTTCTCTTGGTCAGATCTGGATCTTGAGATTATAACATGGATAAAGCTTTAGTGCAGGGTCACTGCACAATGCCCAGGTGTGAGGCAGGGAGGTGGGGCTTGCTTTTTACAGCTCTTACTCTACGGGGTATGCAGGTCAGATTCTTATAGCATGCCTGTGTGTCAGTGCATGAATCTTGATTTATGTTTATTTATAATCCCAAAGGAATGTTTTTTAGGTTTAAAAAGCCCATTTTCCTTGGTTAACACATGACAGTGTCTAGCGAACTTGATCCCTTTGGGATGAAATATGAGGACTCTGAAATACAAACATGCATGTAGAAGTAGAAGCAACTTTCATCTATTAAATACACAAATATATATACATACACACACCCCCAAAACACACACCCTCAATGTAATCAGCAGCTTTGGAAAGAGAAATCATTAAGCCTATTCTTTTTTCCCCACTGAAACTAAAAGCCAGTTACCTAGCAGGGAAAATTTTCTTGAAGTTTTGACCTTTTCCAATATACATGTGTACTTACCACACTTCTTTTGATTTCTCAGTATATTCAGCTCTTTCTATCCTTTTGCTTTTCATAAAAATACTTTAAAGTGTATTTTTTTAAATAGGCAAAAACATATGTGGTTCAGAATTCAAAAGGTAACAAAAGAATATGCAGTGAATGTTTTATTCTGTTCTCTAGCCATTCATTCTGTTTTCTGGAAGCAACCATAGTTACTAGAGTTTTCTGTATCCTTTCAGATATTGTGTGTACATATCCAGGCAAGTGTGTGTGTGTGTGTGTGTGTGTGTGTGTGTTTATGGAATTTTTAACGTAATTGGTGATGTATCATGTTTTTCCCTCCTTTAAGATGATTCATACTAGTATACAAACAGCTTCCTCAGACCATTTTCTAGTTCTATCATCATTTGTGTCCAAGTCCCTCCCAGTGGCTCTATGGACTGTTTCTAGTCTTTCCTGTTCTAAACAGTGCTACAGTGAGTAGTCTTTTACATACACGTGCAGGTATCTAAGAAAGAAAGTGCTAGGCTCAAGGAAATGTGCTTCTGTAATTTTGATAGTCTTTTTTGCTTGACTTTGTCACTCCTTGCTTTTCTTAACACAGCTCTGTCTTGCTGCTTTGCTGTCTCTCTATGTCACGTGCTTCTGCCCACAGCATTTGCTTGTGGTCCCTATCTCTTTGTCTAGGGTGCCGGTTAAAGCTAACACTCTTCAGGAAACTCTCTTGATGATTCAAATCAGGTCTTTCTGTACAGTCTGATTTAATATATTTGCCATGACTTCCCAAGATGGAACTTTATTTTTTTAATCAGTTATTGTTATAATTACTGTTTTAAAATGATGCATAAGCATTGAAACATAATTCTTATGTTTGCTTGCTTTTCTCAGGTTTATAGACAATGTAAAGGATTTTTGTAGACAAAAAATAGATCTTTGCATGTGATGCTGTTTGTTTTGAGTCCCTCTTTGTAGCCCAGACTGGAGTCAGTGGCATGATGTGGGCTTACTGCAACCTCTGCCTCCTGGGTTCAAGTGATTCTCCTGCCTCAGCCTCCCAAGTAGCTGGGATTACAGGCATGTGCCACCATGCCTAGCTAATTTTTTTGTATTTTTAATAGAGATGGGGTTTCACTATGTCGGCCAGGCTGGTCTCGAACTCCTGACCTCGTGATCCACCTACCTTGGCCTCCCAAAGTGCTGGGATTACGGTCGTGACCCACCATGCCTGGCCACGTGTGATACTTTAAAGTTTTATTTGACAATAGTCTTTTTGGGATATTTGTAAAAATATTTTAAAATACTATGCTGTTGATATTTTATATCTAAACCATTTTCATTCTTGTAGCCAAGAATTTTGCTATTGTATTAGTGTGTGTGTTTGTAAACACAAGTTCATTTGTGTTCATTTTTGTCATTTTGTTTTCTGGTGTTTTTGTTTTGAGGAAATTCAGTCATGATTGCTGCCAAATACTGAGTAGGAATACATTTAACTTATTTGCAGATATTTTGGCCAAAACAACAACTTTATAATTCTTGTTTTAATGTCAAGGATATTTTAAATATGAGCAGAACCTAAAATTCTAATGTATCTTAGGTATTTTAGATGATACATATGTATGTCTGTTTCTACATACAATATATACAGATTATATACTGGCACTGCCAAGACACAGAATAGTCAGTAACGTGCAGGCACGTCACAGTTAAGTATGTGGTGGGATCACATGAGTCCTTTTATGTGTCTATATTCTGAGATGTTACTTTCTTTATTTGGAACGTCTGCTTTTCAGACTCAAGCAGGTGCAAAGTAACATTTTTATTGATGAGCCTTAGAAGAAGTACTTGAACATATATATTGAAATTTAGTTGCCAGATAGTTTAGAAAAAGCTATAGTGAAATGCCAGAGTAACTTCTGACTTTAAGTTCCACAGTTCCATTTATTAGGGAGATTGTTTTCATAATTTAGAATTTCCAGGAAAGGGGGAGAATATATATTGACAGAAACTCTGGTTGGAAGAAATTTTGTTTGTGGAACCACTGCCTGGAAGAGTAGCGGGAGTTTTGAATCTTAAGACCAGGCCAGAAAAACTTAATGATTTAGATTAAAGAGAACCTTCCATGCTGGCAAAATGTGGACGGAAGTCTTTTTTATTTTAGTTTTATAAAAGTACTTTATATAACAATGCTTTCTTTATTTTATCCAAGTAACTTCCCAGACCTTCCACCTGTACCAGTTTCATTTTGTCTGCCTTCATTCCTGTTCTGTCATTGATCTGTATTCGTATAAGAATTTCATATAGTTTCCTGTCTGACTATACTGTAAGAAGTAACCTAAGAATATGTTGTTATATAAATTCAAGTTTTAGGATAGAGCATAACTGTATATGAGCCAATGCATTTTTTAAAAGTATTTATTTATTTAAAAGATGTCTTAAGTCAGAAGTTAGGATGCAGGTAGAGAAGGTTAGACATCTTTAACTCTTTCAGTGAAGTTTTTCTTCCTTTCAGCCAGTGTTTAAAAATTAGTATCTTTCAATCTAAGGAGTCATTAATAATTTTAAATTCTCCTTTTTTATAGTAGTGGTTCACACCTGATTTTCTAGTGAGGGTGAGAGGTGAAGCTGTGACATTGGAGCATCTTCTAGAGAGGTTATGTGGGCAGGGGAAGAGTCAGAGTCCACCAGGAAACACAGGTGTAGTCCCATCTCTGTTACTCTCTTGCTGTAGGACTTTGGGGAAGTCATATACCGCCCCCCCACCTCCACAATTTCCTCACCTCTGAAGTGAGGAGATCATTGCAAGTCCAATTAGCTCTAATATTTTTTGGTTTTCAAACCTATCTTTAAGCAGAATTCATTCTTGAAGAGAAATTCTGTTACCTGTAGAGCTTGCGGGCGTGAAGGTGAGGAAACCTCGCTGTGCTTGTGAGCATGGGGCTGCCGTCCTTTCCCACGCCTTGGCCTCTTGCTGGTGTGGCTGGGCACACAGAGCCCTTCCCCCCAGCCTTATAAGTGACCGTTTCTGTTTGCTTTAGGGGCTATCAACAGCAAGACGCCCATGAATTCATGCGCTACCTTTTGGACCACCTACACTTGGAACTCCAGGGTGGTTTCAATGGTGTTTCCCGCTCAGCAATTCTGCAGGAGAATTCTACTCTATCTGCAAGTAACAAGTGTTGCATGTAAGATTTCGTTTCCTTCTGTTTTTTAGGAGGGCCTCAGACATTTCTGTTGGTATTAACTGTGTGTTGGATTTATAACAGAAGGTGGAGGGGTTTCCTAGACATTTGCTGGAACTTTTCATGCTCTTGAACTTTGTGACCCAGTGAACTAGCACATGCCTCTTGCTTCCAGACCAGAGGCATCTTGTATTTGCATCCTGATTTAGTTCTGACTGTGATTACTTGGTATAGATTATTTTAAATCTTGAAAAAATAGAAAATATTTGTACAATATTTGTACAGTTTAGCATTTAAAAGATTTCCTACAAATATATTGAATGATGGGCAGGAGACTTAATTTTCATATACACAAATAATATTTGTTCACTAAAAACAAAAGCTTAAAACATTTCGAATGTGAACTTTCCTAAAGCTTCATTATGGACTTGAACTTTCCTAAAGTTTATCTGTTCTTTAATGAAGTCGAGGCATTTGTAAGTTCTCAGAAGTTTTTCTTGCTTCTCAATATGAATAAAACAAAGTTTTTTGGATTGCTTTCCCATGTACTAGTAGCCCACAAATATACACTGAGATCAGAACACTTATTTTGCTTGAAGAAGGGAAGATTTACTGTTCCTTTAGCCTGGATTTTGGTCAGTTGTAGCCTCCTTTGTTCAGATGTTTTGAAAAGTTTCACCACTATTGAGCTACATGGGAGAGATTTACAAGAAGACAAACTCCCCCCAGAAAGAAAGAAAAGAGTGAGTAACATGTAGGTGTCATTGTAGTATTGCCTGGCAGTCCATGAATCGGATGCAGTGGGACTACTTCTTTTTAATGGCAAAGCAGGCTGATAGCTCACCAAGCAGTGTTAGAAACGGCAACCAATGTGAATTGCCATACTTCTCAAAATGATTGTCCCTCTAGGTCCTAGTAGCTGTGATTCCAATTAGAATACAATATAGAAAGGGAAGGACCTGTGACCTGGGAGAATTGTGCTTCCTGCTAGCACCAAATTAAAAAGTATTAAATGAAAAATTGTTTTGTATTTTATCATGGCATATTCATCCACAAAGGATATTGAAGTGGGCTCTATCATGGATAGGCTGTGTGAGGTGAGAGAGGGTATATGTCTTTATGATTTTACATGATGCCCGGGGCACCCTGTGGAATCACACTGTGTAATACTCATAGAATGTTCTTTTAGTGCCTCATGAGTTTTCAGTATTAATCTATCCCTTTTCATGACATTTTAAAGATTAGGAATTGCAAGTTTCATTACTGAGTTAGGGACAGAAACCAAACATTATCAAATATTAAAAATTCAGATTTCGTTCAGTGCATTGGAGAAGCCATTTCAGGATCTAAGAATATTTGCTACAACTAGAAAAAGGTTCTCTTGTGTAATGTCTGTTGACTTGTGCACACACACACCTACCCCTGCTGAAGGTGAAGGTGAGGATGGTGGCATGGAAGTAAGTGGCAGATGTGATTTTTATAGTACATAGAAAATCATTCGTGCCAGTTAAAGGACCCTAGAATTATAAGAGCCTATCCAAGCATTCAATATTTAAACATTTGTGGTTATACTAAATGAAACTGATTTTGAATATTAAGTCATGGTATGTATGAAACTTAATGTCAAACAGGTCAGGCAGCTAAAAACTTGATTAGTATCCATTTCTCAGAGGAAGTGATTATAAGGAAGAACTACATTGAGTCTAAATGTAATTCTTAATGAAGCAGTTTCCATTTTAATTAAAGGCAACCTTGTAAGTGAACATCAGCATGAAAGGGTCAGTTAGAGTCCCTTCATTTTCAGCAGGATTTTTTCTTTTTTTGCTATGTACTTTTTTAGTGACACAGATATTAAACCTAAACCTGAAATGGCCACTGGATCCTACAGCTCCCAATGCTTCTTCCCCAATGCCATCTTAAAAAAAAAAGAAAACTTATTAAGACAGTATGTCTTACAAACAATACTTTAAAAAGTAATAATAAAGTTACAGCCTATTTATTTTGCCAGTAAATGAAGCCTTTTCCTAGAAAAGGAATCAGACTTTTCAAATAGAATTGTTTGAGTAGGTTTTGTCATCATTGCAGTAGGTTTAACTTAAAGTGGCCTAGAAAATATAGTTCAGTGTTTTAGGAGTAATTGATTCAAGTGACAGAAACCACATTATATTGCTGTTAGCAGAAAAGAGTGTGTATTGGCTCAAGTAACTCCATAAGTGCACGAAGGCTAATAGACATTAATGATAGCAAACAATTGAAACTACCTCAATACCCACTAATACTATATTGGTTAAATTAAGAGAAAGAGCCGTGTTAGAGCAGATATTCAGGCCAGGCCAGCTGTATGACCTTGGGCCAACTTAACCTCAGCGTCCTCATCTACAACATGGGGCTAACAGTAGCTACCTTTCTGATGTGTTGTGAAGATTAATTGATTGAATAGATGGAAAGAATGTGCTTGGAATGGAGCCTGCGTGTAGTAAGTGCTATAATAAGTGCCTGCTACTCCAGCTCTCACTGGTACACTTCCTCGGTGGTTCTTGCTTCCATTGTATGTCCATACTCTGACACACCATGTAGCTGTCAGGAAGAATGAGGTATCTGTTTAAGATACACACTCAGGGAAAAACAGAAAAGCAAGAAGCAGGTGTAATCTGACTTCATACGAATAAAATAGTGGCAAACACTTTAAGTGCTTTATTTTTGGTAAGTACTCTTCTAAAAGCACTTCACATACACAACTCTCTCGTCTCCACACTGGGCCTCTGTGGTGGGTGCTCTTCTGTATTCCTGTTTTATATTTGATGGAGCAGAGGCATGAAAAGGTTAAGCAACATTAGGGCAGATGGTTTTGAAAATTGTTCTTAAAACAGTATATTGTTCATCTCCACAAGGAAATTATTTGCAGTATTGAGCTTTTTAAAAAGTGTTTTTGACAGTAATATCCAGCACTTTCAATTGTGAAGTCCTGCTTACAGCAGTAATTACTACATCTGTATTAAATTCCTTTACTTCCTTTTCCCCAAATCTGTCAGATGGCTGTATAAAAACTCTAAAACTATCTCAGATCAAGGATGTTCAAAGTCAAGTAATTGTGAGAGTTCCCTGTGAAATATGAAAGGCCTTGCAAAGATTCCAATACAAGGCAGTTTCTTCCTTTTGAGGCCTAACCTGGGGAGGGAATGGAAGGAGTCATGTCGCCCTGTGCAGAGTCATGCATGTGATCTGTTATGATAGCAAATGGCCAGTGTTAGTTACTCTTGGGGAAAGTAGTGGGATTGGATGAAGGCATTGGGGGAGGTCAGTGGCTTAAACCTTTTATTTAGTATGTGTCTATGGTTTTGAAATTTTTATATTATTTTTTAACTTAGAAATAAATGATTTAAATATTCCCTCAAAGGGAGTCATCTGTAGGGCTTTAACAAATATTTGTAGTTTTTTAAGTGTCAAAGAGATGGCTTCTTACTGAGATATTTTCCTATATGGTGATTTTGTTTAGAAATGGAGCATCTACTGTTGTCACGGCTATATTCGGAGGCATTCTCCAAAATGAGGTTAACTGCCTCATATGTGGGACAGAATCTAGAAAGTTTGATCCATTCCTAGGTAAGTTATGTGGCATGTGGATATATAATATTTTATTAAAATAATTTTAATGTTTCCTTCAAAAAATAAGTGTAAAGAGAAATCTAGAAATACATCAGTTTGTGAAATTATTTTTGAGTAGACATATATGCCTTTAACAGCTCTTTATTTACTTATCTCTCCTTTTAAGACCTTTCATTAGATATTCCAAGTCAGTTCAGAAGTAAGCGCTCTAAGAATCAAGAAAATGGACCAGTTTGTTCATTACGAGGTAAAGATACTTGAATGTTCTAAAATATTTTTTCTTTAAATAATGGAATAGATTGATAAGCTTCATCTATATGTGCTATGTGGTTAATATCCTTAATAAATCTGTGTTATAACTTAAAAGGCAAACTTGAATGTCTTTTCCTACCCTCCAAAATGTTACTGAATAAGAATGTCTGCCATAAGATATTGTGTGAAGCATAAAATATTTCTCATTTTTTTCTTCTTTTAATACTGACTTTAAAATAGAAGGTCTGTAGCAGAAGTTTTTCTGACCAAATGAAACAGAAGTTATTCTGTGGTTATCCCACTAGCATCTATAGGAAGAAAATACTCAGCAGAGTCTTATAAATTATGGTATTATGTATTGTTGTCAAATAGTTTGAGAAATCTCTGGATGATATAACTGCTGCTTAAGCCTGAGGCCCTGCTTTTAAGACTGTTAAAATTCACATTTATTTAGGGAGATTTGAACATATTTTTTCCTTGGTGAATACTAGCTACTGTAATCAAGGCAGAAGACCTTACTTAAAATTTTATCGTAGACCATAAGTGTACACACAGGTCACAATTAAAATGGCTAATTGTTCTTGCTAGTTATATAAAGAAGAAGCTAGGATAGACAAAAGAGGGCCGAGTCTGTGTTTTATCAGAAACTCTACACTGAAGCTAACAGTTTCTACTCTGACTTGTATGTTCACTAAAAGTAATTCTCTTTTCTCTATTTTAGGGAGTATTGTCATGATGGTTTTTTTATTGCAAAACTGCACTGTCCAATACGATAACCATGAGTCATGTAGCTATTAAATTAATTAAAATTTAAAATTCTGTTGCTTAATCACACTTGAACCACATGTGCTCAGAAACCACAGGAACTAGTAGGGGGCTCCTGCGTTAGACAGCACTACTCTAGAATCACATTATCCTAGTGGAAATAAAACTTTCTGTTGGAGAAGGGCTAGGCTTCTCTGCGTTACTGGCATTCTGTGTAATGTGAGGCATTTGGCTTGTTAGAAGCAGCAGAGGTCTCAGACACTTGTAGCACTGTTGCTCAGGTAGTTTCTAGAAATCCATCAGATGATACGTGGGATGACTAGACTACACTCCAGTAAGGAACCGGAACAACTCTGTATATGAAACATTTTGTGGATGCTCTTAGGTTTGTTCCTTACCTACACGACCAGTGTTGATTGTCTCCTTAACAGGAATACAGAAGAAAAAGCCCCACTCCACTTCTCTGCAAAATATATGGCTATAGTATGTGGCTCCAAAACTGTTTTTGGCCTATTTGAGATTAAGAAAATTCACAGTATGCTTGATATTGTCAAATATCACACATTTTCTCTTTATATCTAGGGCATGTGAATACAAGCTAACTTAATCATAAATACCTGGTTATTTACAGTGGAAGTCAGTGAGAATTAAAGGAATTAGCCTCAAACTATATCATTTTATAAACTCTTCAGTAAGAACAGTACTAATCACGCTAGTTTAAAAACTGTTCCTCACTATATATACATGGATATATATCTGAACAATACTTTTTTTTTTTTTTGTGGTTTTTTTTTTTTTGAGACTGAGTCTTGCTGTGTCGCCCAGGCTGGAGTGCAGTGGTGCGATCTTGGCTCACTGTAACCTCCACGTCCCACGTTCAAACGATTCTCCTGGCTCAGCCTCCTGAGTAGCTGGGACTATAGGTGCATGCCACCACGCCTGGCTAATTTTTGGATTTTTAGTAGAGACGAGGTTTTGCCATGTTGGCTAGGCTGGTCTTCAACTCCTAACCTCAAGTGATTCGCCCACCTTGGCTTCCTAAAGTGCTGGGATTACAGGCATGAGCTACCGCACCCAGCCTGAACAGTACTTTCTGATATTTAACAAAACTTAGTAAATCCAGATGATCTTTGGCTAGAAGACTCAGAGACACTAGTTTGTTTAGGCTTCTTTCCTTCCTTCCTTCTGTGTTGTTTCCCTCATTCTAAGTTGGTTCTATATGTGGTTCTTACTGACTTTCGTAACATTTCAGTTATGACTTATCCCAGAATACTTGAATACCAAGCAGAGTCTCACTTCTTGAGCCCATCCAGGAGGAGAGTGCATGACACAGCTTATAGATGGCCGATTATTCTCCAAACAACAGAAGTGGCAAGTGGCATCCGCCTTGCATCCCAGGGAGTATTGTCCTTGGCACAGAATCCTTGAACTGATGTGATTGGTGTTAGCTTCAGGGGGCCCAGACCATCCTAAGTAGTTTAGGGTTTGGCCGGAAAAGCGTTTCCTGTAATATCAGCTGGCTTTTGTTTGAATCCTCAGGCTTGATTTTTATTTAAGAGCTTACTGTTGGCTTTAAAAAGTCCATGACAGGGTCTGGTACCTCCTCATTGTGTTTTTGTTGACCACCCTTATCAATTAAGGGCACTTCTCTTGGACATCCAGAATGTCATGGACTTCACTTGACTCATAGACCTTTCTTTATTTACTGGAAATGGAGACTTGTGATTACCTAGTAAGTCTTCTACATGTTTTGAGTCCACTTGACAAGAACTACTTGTGTACTTTTTGGATTTGTAGTTGTTAAGCTTAGTTTTCCTTTAAAAAGCAAAAGTCATGGTGAGAAAGACCCATCTTAAATAACTTAAATAACTTGAAGTTAACTAAAAATATGCATATTGCAAAAGGCATTAAATAACCCCAGTTCTGAAACCTGACAAAGATACCATGAAAAAGAAAATATAGCTTGATCTCACTTATATTATAGATCGAAAAATCCTAAATAAAGTATTAGCAAATACAACTCAGTAGTGTACTAAAACAATACTATACAGAGATCAAATAGGACTGATTTAATACTAGAAATATAATTAGGTGAAAACAAATGAAAATGCTCTAATAGGCCAAATGCCTGGGCATAGTGGCTTATGCCTGTAATCCCAGCACTTTGGAAGGCTAAGATGGGAGCATTGCTTGATCCCAGGAGTTTGAGACCAGCCTGGGCAACATAGTGAGACCCTGTCTGTACCAAACAAAAATAAGAAGGCCAGGCATGGTGGCTCACGCCTGTAATCCCCGCACTTTTGGAGGCCAAGGCAGGCTGATCACGAGGTCAGGAGATTGAGACCATCCTGGCCAACATGGTGAAACCCTGTCTCTACTAAAAATACAAAAATTAGCTGGACGTGGTGGCAAGTGCCTGTAATCCCAGCTACTCCTTCAGGAGGCTGACGCAGCAGAATAGCTTGAACCACGGAGTCAGAGCTTGCAGTGAGCCGAGATTGTGCCACCGCACTCCAGCCTGGTGACACAGTGAGACTCTGTCTCTAAATATATAAATAAATAATATAATAATAAGAAAAATTAATTGGGCATGGTGGTATATGCCTATAATCCCAGCTTCTTGAGAGGTTTAGGCAAGGAGGATCACTTGAGCCCAGGAGTTGGAGGCTGCATTGAGCCTTCACTGCTCCTGTACCTTAAGCCTGGGTGAGAGAGTGAGACCCTGTCTCCAAAAAAAAAAAAAACCAAAAATGTCCAAATAAGATACCGATAAAATCCCAAATCCATTACTGATTAAAAGGAGAATAAAGGGGTGGGCGCAGTGTAGTCCCAGCACTTTGGGAGGCCAAGGCGGGTGGATCACTTGAGGCTAGGAGTTCGAGACCAGCCCTGACCAATGTGGAGAAACCCCATCTCTACTAAAAATACAAAAATTAGCCACGTATGGTGGCATGTGCCTGTAGTCCCAGCTCCTCGGGAGGCCGAGGCAGAATAATGGCTTGAACCGGGGAGGCAGAGGTTGCAGAGAGCCGAGATCGTGCCACTGCACTCCAGCCTCGACAACACAGTGAGACTCTGTCTCAAAAACAAAGAGAAGAAAAAACTTTTATTAGGAATAGAAATGTTAACTTGATGACAATTATTAACAGCTATCAGTGATCATCACAGTTAATGGTGAAGCACTGATGATTTTCCATTAAGGCCGGAAATAAGCCAAGAGACCTACTGAAATACTGCTCAGATGTCTTCTGGAAAAACAAGGCAATAAACTAGGAAAAGCAATAAGAATAAATTATAGAAGAAGAATGACCAAATTATTAACATTTGCAGACAGACTGATTATATACCTAGAATATTTCAGGAGAATCAGTTGGAAAATTACAAGAAATATTAACTATTGTCATGGAGAGTTGAGACTGGGCAGGAGGACACCTGCTTTTCTAGAAGCCCTCAATTTAAAAAAAATCAAACACAAGTAATACTTTGTAATACTTTGATAAATATGTTCTAAACATGGAGCTAAAAAGTTTAGGCAAAAAGGCAGCTGATTTTCTGTACACAGCAGAATAATCTATTCACAGTAGCAATAAAAACTCAAAAGTACTTAATAAATTTAATAAGGAATATGCAGTACTTTAGTAAAACATTATAAAAGGACAGATAAAGCCTGAATAAAAAGAGCCACATCATATTCTTGGATGGGAAGACCCAATATTGCAGAAATGTCCATTTTCTCCCAAATTACTCCCTACATCTATTCTAATTTATTAAAAAATTCCTCTGTAAGTAGAAATTCTCAAGAGGAGTTAAAGAAGTTTTTAAAATGAAAGTAAGGTAGAAACATAGCAATGGGATAGGAAATGTCCTAGAACTACGAATATAGAGCAGGTGCTAATGTAAAATATTTATGGAAATTTACAATATGCCAAAGAATGTCAAATCAGTGGGACGAATAAGAAATTAGGCAATAAATGGTGTTAGTGTTAATGAAAATTAATTTGGGAAAACACTGATTTCCTCCCTGCCTCATATCCTTTCCCTAATTTGAGGTTTCAGTATTTAAATATGAAACATAAAACCACAGGACACTGTAGGAAAGCATCTTTATGATCTTGTCATAGGGGAAATCTTTCTAAGCCAGAACCTATAATGGGAAATGCTTCATAAATGTAGTTGAGCAATGGTAAAAGACCATAGACAAAGTGGAAAAGAGATGATAAACTTGAGACA